AGTGCTGAATGTGTGAATGTACCACAATTTTTCAATCCATTCCATTATGGTTGAATATTTGGGCTGTTTCCACTCTCTTTTGATGTTTCCCTGATCATTCAACATTTGGCCCATGGCTTCTCTTCTCTCAGTCTTGCAACTCAAGGCTTGGATTTATTTCTCAGTTTCTTTAGTATGAGAAATATCAAATGAGTTCTTTCTTTTTAATTCTCCATCTCTAGGTCTTTGCACATTTCATTCTGATACTTTGCTTTGTCTTCTCGAGCTCCCCTTTGAAATCTTGTGTTTATCTCTTTAGGCTAATTAAAATAACATACAGCTCTTAACAATCGAGTTGTATCATCTGCTATGGTGTAAAGAACCTGGCATCATGCATTAAAATCACAGAAATGTGATATAAGGTATTCATTTAAAATAGATTATTTCAGCATTCAAAATCCCCTTTACCCTCCAAGCCCTTTCCATCCCTGGAAGTGAATGAAGCAAATGATGCCATTAGATTTAAGCAGTAAATAAAGGGGAAAGCAGTGGACTGTGAACACCAAAGAAACCAAAGAAAGGTGACAGTGTTGAGTGAATGCCCCTAGGTGCCACTACTGTGCTGGGCACTAGGCATGTTCTTCATAAGTTTATGCATTTATGCAAGACCAATAAGGAGGATAAGCTCTCCTTTCTACAAACTCAAAGAGGCACTGGTAGTTCAATGGTAGAATTCTTGCTTACCATAACAGAGATCCAGGTTCAATTCCCCACCAATGCCCCTCATACACAGTCAATTCTCATCTGCTAGCAGAGGGTTTTTTGTGCTGTTATGAAACTAAACAGGTTTCAGTAGAACTTTCAAGCTCAAATGGACTAAGAAAAAGCTTCTAAAAAATCAGCCAATGAAAACCAATTAGATCATAACAGTCCAATCTGCACTCAATCATGTGGACAGTGTAAGACTAGGCAGTGAATAATTTCCTGTGTGTGTAGTAACTATGAGTCAGGGGGTGACTTCAGAGCATCTAGCAATAGTATATTAGAAAGGCTAAGGCCCAGATGGTAAGGGAATTTTCAAGTGATCTTCAACTAACTAGTTGGAAAAATCAGAACTGAATTCAGTTGTCTTTAAATCTGAAGTCTAGATGCTGCCCGAGAGCGCACCACCTCCATCCATGACATGAGGTCACTTGTCGGGTAAATGGCCGTATTAGCTACAGTGATGTCTCATAGACTAATAGTGCCAAAAGCAGCATTTTTCTACTCTCTGTAATTCTCTGAAGATCGGTACTCTAACTCAAGTTCTCCTCAGACAGTTTTAAAATTTCTCTTTTTCTCTTCAAACCCCATCTTAATTCTTTCACTAAATTGAACCCACTGAACATCATCCTATGACCCCCTTAATTCCCTTACAAACTCATAAGCAATCAACCTTTTCACTTTTCTACTTATCGTAATGATCCTTTGGGTGGTGCAAATGGCTAACACACTGGCTACTAACTGAAAGGTCAGAGGTTTGAATCCACTCAGAGGTACCTCAGAAGAAAGATCATAGATCTACTTCCAAAAACTCAGCCATTAAAGACTACAAGGAGCACAGATCTAGTCTGACACACATGGAGTTGTCACACATCAGTCAACTCAGTGGCAACTAGAGTTTTGCTTTATTCCATCTATACCTTCAACTCCAATTTCTATTATTGTCCCATAGACACTTTCCACCTCAACACTACAGAATAAGCCAAAGATCTCTAAACACCTTGAGATCAATCCCTTTCTCCAGTGGAAGTGTCTTTCCTCAAAATTCCCTTCCTCATCTTCACGTCCCTAACTCCTACTCAAGTTTTCCAAACCTCAACATGGAAGCATTATCGTGGGTGCTCCAACTGACCACTAGAATAAATTACCTTTAATTATAATTGTGTTGTTATTTAATTATATATGTTCATTGTTAAAAAAAAAAGGCTGTAAACAAACAAGAGTTCTACTACCATTTCCATTTGTCTGTCAGTTGGTCATAATGCGGTGGCTTGCATGTTGTTGTGATGCCACCAGTAATTTCAAATTCCAGCAAGGCACCCCTGGGGGGCAGGTGTCCAGGGTCCCTGGGAAAAGACATTGTGTGCTTAGAAAAGTGAAGAAGACAACTCTCCATGAGCTTCCAAACTAACTCACTCACTAAGTTGAGGAAAAACCTACGAATAGTAGTAGAACATTATCTGGTATATATGTTGTTGTTGATTGTCTTCAAGTCAAGCATGACTCATAGCAACCCTATGAACAAAAGGCCGGAAGCCCCTCTACAACTATTGACATGTGTGTGTGTGTGTGTGTATATATATACATATATATGTGGATATATGTATATATATGTGTATACACACACACATGGCTACTAATTGAAAAGTTATATATGTAGTTACAGTGCTGGAACACGAAGCCCTCAAGTTGAGTGATACTATGTGACTGGGTAAGACCTGCCTCATCAATGGAGAATCCTTTAAATTGCAGCATTGGAAAAGAATATTATTGAATATGCCCAAGGAGACCAAAAGAATGATCACATCTGTGTTGGACAAAGTATAGCCAAAAAGCTCCTTAGAGCATATTGTCAAGAGGGGCCAGTTCTGGAAAAAGGATGTGGTACTTAGAAGAGTGGAGGTTCAATGAAAGAAAGAGAAGAGGATGCGTCCATGACATGGGTTTACAGAGTGACTGAAGCAATGGGCTTAAACCCAGCAGAGATTAGGGGGACATGTCAGGCTGGTCTTTTGTACGCAGGGTCAGTATGAGTCAGAACCAACTTGATGGTACTTAACAATTGCAACTGAGATGTGATAACCACTAACAGCATTTAAAAGTAAATTGAGAGATAGAAAGGGAAACCATTGTCAATTGGTGAAACAGAAGAAAGGCATGTTGTAAGCTTTGAGCTTTGGAAACATTAAACTAAAACAAACCAAAGTTACAGTGAGAGAGAAAAGAAGAGTAAAATATGAACGATACGATAAAGGGGCTGAACTATACAGGATACTTAAATAAATAGACTTGACGGCTATAATGTGACAAATGTCAAAGATAAAAGAAGTGATGAATCCCAGAAAGATGGTGCATGCTGAATTGGAAGTATATGTGGCATTCCTGAAAAACAGGGCTTCTGTGGTGGACAGTGACCAGGTCTGATTTCCTTCTTAAGACAATCACTTTGTGGAGAACGAGTCTCACACAACAATGGTGGGAGCTCAAAGAATAGACCAACAGGCTATAAATTCATAGTCAGCAAGAGCTGATGGGGCTTAGACAGGAAAGAAGTGGCAGATTAAAAATAAACTTTGCAGGAAGACTTGAAAGACTTGGAAATTGTGGGTTGAGAGAAAAGATTCAAGGATGATTCCAAAATGATCAGTTGAACAACTGATCATTTGCTATCTTGGGAGATGGAGGAAGAAGAAATGGGTTTGAAGGTTTACATTGTGGTTTTGAATATATAAAACATGAAATGCTTGTGCATTCTACCACTTATTAAATGATTAGGCTATTTGTTTGCTGTTTTTATTGCTAATTTTATGGTTGTTGTTTATTGTTATGTGCTGTCAAGTCGCTTGCGACTCATAGTGATCCCATGCACAAGAGCCTTAAACGCTGCTCTATCCTGTGCCAACCTCACCATCACTGACACACTCACTCCCACCACCCCAATCACGGAATTGATCCATCTCATTGAGGGTCTTCCTCTCCTGCGCCGTCCCTCCACTCTCCCAAACATGATGCCCCTCTCCAAGGACCAGTCCCTCCTCGCAACATGCCCAAAGTATGTCAGATGAAGCTTCAGAATCCTTGACTCCAAGGAGCATTTCAGCTTCACCCTCTCCAGGACAAACCTGTTTGTTCTCCTAACAGTCCATGGTATATTCAACACTCTTCTAAAGTACTTGTTAAATTTTATTTTTAGACATGCCAAGAATGAAAGTGCAATACTATCCTGTCCCCTTGTGCTGTGCTCTTCAGCATCTGTCATGATATCTCTGACTCTTCCCATTCACTACAAGCCCCTGGGATTGATGCCTCCTGCGTCTTTCTGAGAGACTCTACAACTTCTGCTCCAGAGTAGCAAGGTGGGCAATTTCCTTCTATGTGAGGAAACTCTACAGGGGCAGCTATGCAGCAATTTCAATGCTACAGCAGAGGTGCTGGGGAGGGGGGTGGGTGGGTGGAGGGAGGTGAAGAAGTGGAGAAAGAAAGAGAGAGAACTAGACAGACAGAACGAAAGCATATATGCATCACAGCTCTTACAACGCACCACGGGGGAAAAAAATTCCTGGAGTGAATTCATAGTAACTTTTCAGTAAACCAGTCAGTATCCTTTCTCAAAGACCAAAGAGTGAGTTACATTTAATAATGAAAATAGTATTGGTCTTCAGAGAGGAGTGATTCTCAAAGTATAATCCTTGGGACAGAAAATCCTGAGAACACGTTAGAAATATGATCCTTCACCTTACCTCCACCCTTCCAAGCCAGAAACTACGGGGCTGGGGCCCAGAACTCTGTTTTTAACAGGCCGTTCAGACAGCTCTAATGCACTTTCAAGCTGTAGAACCAGTGGTCTTATGAACTATAAGAAAATGTGTTTTGTAACCCTTTCATGTGGCATGGATAAAAGTCCCCATCAAGTTCAGTCCAACTCATGTGTTTGGAGTAGAGCTGCTCCACAGAGTATCCTAGGATGTAATCTTAATAGCAGTAGATCACCAGGCCTTTCTTCTGCAGTTCTAGCAGGCAGGTTCAAACTGCTCAACCTTATTGTTACCAGCCGAGCGTAAAACATTTACAAAACCCAAGGAGTCAGATAAAATTGACACCATTTCAAATAAATAAAGCATGACTGAGAAAGCCTGAAAACATCCTCTTAAAAATAGTTTAGTATTAAAATTATGAAAGACAAAGTTTCATCTTTGCAAGAAAAGTTTTAAAGAAAAAGATTCACTTTAGGCAGCCCTGGCGCGGCAAGCCCGGCTCACCTGGCAGATGCCGCTGATGCACATGTCCAGGGAGTCTGCGTTGCAGCGAGTCCCATCCAGCACCTTGGGGGCCAGCTCCACCACCAAGTTTTGTCCCCGCGCATGACACTTGAGCGCACAGGGGGCAGTAGGGTCATTATATCTTGGAAGCCATTCGTAATAGTGCCCCTGATACTGGACATCATTGTAGGCAGAGCACTGCTGGGCTCTGAAGTCCTCTGCGTCTGGAGGGCAGTCCTGCAGGCAGAGAAAAAGGACCACACACATGTATCATCCAATGAAATGAGCCAACGGAAGGCAGACAGAGTTTACCAGGATCCCAGGACGTCAGGCCCTCTGTGCTAGGAGTCATCTCATCCTTTTATATGTTTTTTTCTTCTTCTTTTTTTTTCCCCATTCAAGGACAAGCTGTGGACTTCCACTTGGAATTCCACCATCGGGATGGGCACAAAGGATTACCTCATCTTTTCTCAGTACTTATCCAGCAGGTATTTTTGTACAGCTAAAAGGTTACCATATTTGGGTATCAAATTTTGCCTTATTTTAGCCATCTTGGATATTCATTTTCAAATGCATCCTATATTCTGCTTCCTGTTGGAATGAGGACATGGAATGGTTTGGGGTTTGTTTGCATCAGGTGAGTTAGGCCATTCTAAGGATTTTAAGGTGAAGGCTTATTTGCCTGATGCTAACCCCCTCAGGGAGATCTGATGCCACAGCTGTAGTTTGTAGTGAGTTACACTACTGACCTAAGGTTGTTGTCAGTTCAAATCCACCAGCAGCTCTGAAAAAAAAAAAAAAGACAACCTCCTTCTGTGCAAGTCATAGCCTCCAAAAACCCTCTGGAGGGTCAGCTATAAGTTCCAACCTAACAGCAATGACTTTGACTTTCAGCATTCAACAGTGGTCATTGAGTTGATTCTGACTCATGAGGACATCAGATGTGTCAGAGACCTATGCTCCTTATTATTTCAGAGGTTGAATTTCGTCTGGACATTGATCCCTTTCATCCAAAGAACCTTGGGTGGATTCAAACCTACAGACTTTCCGTTAACGCTCAAGAGTGCTTACTTTCTGCACTGACCAGGGACTCCTTCCATACTCTAGTTGGCCAAGTTTTGTGAAACTATGTCTGTTGCTTTGCTGTTGCCTAAACACCTCAGCTGCTCTTTCTTCCTGTTGTCAAATCTTTTCTATCATTCTTTACTCGGACTAAGTGCCTGCCTCCAATTAGCCATGGGACAGAAAGTAGATGGCCTAGCTTGTTCAAATTCTGTCTAAAACAAGAACAAATAAATCTTGAAAAAATAGTGGAGGGAGCTCTCATAATAATAGGGAAAAAGAAAAAAGTTTATAGAAGACTTAATGACTCAAACTCAAATAGGTACAAACTCATTGCTATGAAGTCCTGGTGGACTCCTAGGTGACCCTCCAGTGGGTTTCAGAGGCTGCAAATCACTCAGCAGGAGATTGCCCATCTGTCACGTGTGGAGATGGTGGGTCTGAACTTCCAGAGAGCTGCTGTTTCCAATTCCCTCTTGACGAGGACAACTGAATCGTGTGTCACTGACTTCTCCCATCAGATATTTGCAAAGAATTAAAGTTATTGGATGGTAAAAAAAAAAGTTACTCTATTACTTTATGCTTCAAAATATGTTGTTGTTGTTGTTGTTGTTGTTGTTATGTACTGTCCAGTCGCTTATGACTCATAGCGACAATATGTACAACAGCTCTAAACTCTGCTCTGTCCTGTGCCAATCGCATTGCCTCCGACACACTCATCCCGATTGCCCCAG